ACGACACAACTATATATATATATNTTTTCTATATATATAATAATATATATATATATATATATATATATATAGTTTTTATTCTATCTATATATATATGTATATATATAGGATGGATGCATATCCATATGTTCACGAACTCACAAACGAAACTCACAAACTCACTCAAACACACACACGCACACACACACATATATATATATATATAGATATAGTTTATATTTATATTTGTATATATATACTTATATATATATATAATATGCCTGTTGTTTTATCCGAGGTTTCCTGCTTCCTTCTATCTTTTTGCGCTCAAAAATCGTTTTGTTCATCTGTGTTTTGCGTTAGTGTGTTCCAGCAGTTTTGGTAACGATACCTCATAGATCTTTACCATTCTTGGTATGTGATATCTCAATCATCCTGCCTCTGCCGTGCTATTACTGTTTCATCAGGAAATAATTACTAAACGGTCATATTGTGTCACATATTTAAGACAATATTTATCATTGACATCTTATCTGTGCTTCTAATTCGTCATCAAGGGCGTTTACTATCCGTTAACAAGGCGATTAGTTCGTTACCTAGACCACTAATTCGTCATAAAGGCGATCAACTCGTCACTCAGCCACTAATCCGTCATCTTTTTTTGGGTCTACTACCCAGGCATACGAGACCGGAAGGTCATCTGAAAAGGCGAAGTACCGGCTGATTAGAAAGAAGTTCAAGGTCAAAAAATCAGAGGTATGGGGTTTCCAGTGGTATTCCGATTTAGTGTTCAAGTGCATGGAATATATCAGTTCGGTACATTTGTTTGCAAAATTTCCCCAAGGTAGTAAGTAAGCGGAATGTCAGATTGTATGTACTTCACTACAGATGTGATGGTTAAACAGGACGGTGCAGGTGTATGTTGTAATTGTGTGCACATGCTCCGTTGCTTAAATATTGGGGATGTTCTCACACAATTATTAAGATAGATAGGCGATGATGGTTGTGCTGACTAGGGCTACGCTACGTACCTGATATCTGCGCAAACGAATTACACACTATAAAACCCCTCCATTTAAATTTATTTTGGTTTTCCTGTTGGTTTATTTATCTGGACAACGTTTCCCAGGAAGTTGACTTTGGGGGGGGGTAGGACAGGTGCTGTATATATTTCTCACAATCCGTGCAGACATGCTTTCTGATTGTTCTTCTGATCTCGGTGATTTCCACTGCCTTGTTTCTTTAGACTACGAAGGTTTCTCTGGTGGTTGACGATAATGGAGTCCACATACATCGCATGGACGGTACCCCCTGCGTCAACATCATTTACCAGTATGTTTTCGTATTCGTGATATGTGAGTGTTTGATACCCTTCAACGAACGCATGTTGCTGGCATGCTCACAAACATTTGTAAATTGCCGTGCGTAAGGCCAGCCTGGAGTTTAGGTAAGAGTGTACATATCTCTGCGGACAAAATTGAAGGGGGGAGGGGGGGTATATTACTCTACCGTATGTACCGTATACTATTGTATAGTTTATCAGTGTTGTCATGGTGATTACTCTCTGTCCGATTATCACCCCACATGTCCGACTGTCGATGCTGGCTTTCCTTGTACCTCATTGTGTTCCTGGCATGTTGCTATGGTTAATATTGGTGCTGCACAGTTATAGCCGATGTTCGAATTCTCTGCTCTACTCTGTGGATCGCGTTTGTCGATTCACCATTTGCCATCTTGAATTAATCAATTCTTTAAAACGTATCTATTTATATTTACAAATTCATATAACAATTATTAGCAATGCTTGAAAATCACTGAAAATATAATATATCAAAGGGTTTAGCGGCTGGTCGTGAACACCAATGTCAAAATCAGGAGAGGGGTTACCCAAAGTGATATCTTGTAGACATTTACACGTTGCTCATTAACGTCGACAGCGAGATAGGATTCTTTCAATTCTCACACTTTGTGTTCAGTCGCATTTAAAATGCCTTCCATCTCTATTGCATGTGCCGTGATCGAAGAAGTATGACGATTATAATGTATATACTAACTGATTGAACGGTGATTTCATTCTAGCGAATCGGATACCTTTTTTGCTTTTGTTCTGACATATTTCACCCAATGGCCACACAGAGAAATAACCTCAATCGACCACAGGCGCGATGCCAAGGACTTGATGGGCGAGAAGAATTTCTTGGCCTTCCGATTGAGAGACAGCACTTCAATAATAGTGAGCTCTGCAGATACCAGGCTCATTAAGAACGATGTCATGAAGCGTGTCGGGCCCAAACTGACAGTTGGGTCCGTTCTGCGCAACTATAGCAAAGATAACATCACGGAAGCTTAATTCTTCGAGTCTTAGCGTATATATATATATATATAGTTGTTATGTTCAGTATAGGTGCAAGCCTAAAGGTAGGGATTGGTTAAGAGGGAGAACGAGGCTGTTTCATGGCGTGTATTGAGTATGAATTTAGTGTGTATATTTTTTTTCGGGGGAAGCACGGGGGTGGAGATTGGTTGGGAGGGCGAACGAGGCTGCTGTGAGGCTTAGTATTGGTGATGAATTTAGTTTGTTTTATTAGAGGGGTCAAGGGAAATGAGTGTCCAGCTTTGGGCTTTTGGTCAATTCGGCGCAACTACAGCGAGAGACGTTGAAGCACAGTAGCATGAGTGCTTTGATTGATGTAGGTAAAGGCTCTGAGGAAGCCCTGGTGGGGCAGGTGACGGTGGCTGCTTTACAATGGCGAAGTGTTGGTTGTTTGCCTTTTCAGGACTGGCAGTGGTATTGGAGGTCTAGGGTTGTGGTCAAACTAGAGTGTGTCACACCTTCGTTGGGTTTGAGACTGTTGGGTTCTGTCGAAACGATCACCTGGTGGCGCTGTCAGTGGGAAAATCGGGCTGGAATGTAGGATGGAATCAGGCGTGAAAGTGGCTGGAATTGGGATTGGAAATGGGAAGATTTGGATTGTAGTGCGATGGCCGATATCGGAGGAGAGAGACAGTTGATTGGGCACACAGAAAGCACGAGTATGTGTATACTGACACAATCACATGTACGGGGGAACGTTCGTATGTAAAGTATGGGCTTCTAAATATCAAATTGCTACCCGGTTTTTACCATCGCATAGTATCAGTCGTCGTACAACTGCTCCAGCGCTCATCTGCGCACATGGCACGTTAGAATTTTACAATCATGTACACGTGTACCTTCATCTCCATGAAAGGATATACCAACTAGGCAAGTAATTCGCTGGAGATGCCTCTATTAGATACTTATAGATACTTATGAGTTCGCGAATTGTACTTTACCTTGGGCACACGTGGATATGAGATGGCATAGATGTATACATGTGTGTTAGTGACAGGACAAGTTGTTCACTAACTTGTCCCACATCAGCACGCACGCATGTGTTGTGAAACAGAACACAGGCAACGGGAAATAGTAGGCAGTCAGTGGGGAATAGGACCCACACAAGGTGAAGTGGAACATACAATGTAAAATAGGACACCAATAACGGGCAATAGGACACATGGAATGTGGAATATTTAAGACAACGTAAAATAGGACACAGACAGTAAAAGTTGGGCGCAGACAATGTAAGAAAGAACACCAACCACTTGGGAATACACACAAAAGTACGAATGATGAGGATACGTTGGGTGCAACGAGGTAAATTCACAGCACGCGCATTTGGCACGGACTAAACATTTTTTATATAGCGGACACGCACACTATATATATATATATATGTATATATATAATATATATTTATATATATATATACATACATATACATATATATGTATGTATATATATATATATATATAATATATATATATATATATATATATATATATATTGTATATATTCACATCAACATGGGAGAGACACCAACAATTGAGCCGTGGGATTGGAACACTTAAGCAAGGAGCCGGATGCCAACACAAGATAGGGACTAGTTGAGGCCTCAATGAAGTTCTAACTGTACATTTTTGTATTTGTTTATGATGCGTATATTATTTGCACCTCAGTATACCTATTACCCAAATTGTATCTAATTGTACCTATTGTTTACCTTATTACATTGGTCCAACAGTACACATGACTCGAGCTTTCGACTATGCCCCTAACGATGGCTGTTTCTAACTTTTTATGTACTACTGGGTAGTATCAGATCGACGCATGGCTGCCACTTACGCGCCTCGATATACTCGATAGTATTCCAACCACATTAGATAAGCACGAACTCGCAGCTATTCCTTACATACCTGAACATATCTGGTACTTATCTACTACAAGGCCTAGTCATATACAAGACAGGCTTATCAAGATGTATCAAATGATACTATGGTTCACATTAAAAATGCACTTAATCAGTACCGATAGTAAAACATATCCTGGTGGGTATCGCACACAACCTACGCCTTCAGCTTTGTACCCAACCCTCTCCGTCAGTTTCCGAATTACACTGGTCAGTAACACACATACACACATCGATCACAAGGGCACCAACACAAACCTGGCAGTATGCCGACTATGTATCATATACGTGACTTGTATCGTGAAGTATCATATACTTCACCCCATGTATCTACGCAAATCTGTCAGTAATCTACCTCCAGGAATAGCTGACGATAAAGGGGTATTAATATTTAAACAGCGCGCACAGCCGCAATGGTTCCACTAACGGGATAGTGCTGATCGGTTGAGGGTATGTTCTGGTCGCAAGACTTGCAACCGTTCCATAATTGCAAAATTCTGACAAACAATTGGCTATTCGGCAGGAGGTATGCATTTAACTTGCCATTTAGGGGAAGCACATTTATAGAACACTCAAAACTTCAATATTGTATATAGCTACATCCAGTAACCATACAAGCTTCACTGTGCATTAACACGCTTGGTACGCCTTATGCGATTTACGCACAATACAGAACGGCACTCAGCTGATACGCTTGTTATTTAAAATGCAGGTCCACAGGCATTCTATTTATTTCAGCGAGATTCTAATTGATTATCCTTCCCTATTACAAAGGTTTCACTTTATTTCAGAGGGAAGTTCTAATTTGCTCTCCTTTCTTATTACAAAGGTGTCATTTTATATCAGCGAGAGATTCTAATTGATTATCCTTCCTTATTGCGAAGGTACTGCTACATACTGCTGTATGTCATACCAGTTGTCGTCTAAATCACATGCGCTTTTCTCAAATGCACATATCATCCGATGGATATTGACATACATTATGAAAGCATGTTTTCAATTAACTTATAAGAGAAAGGTTCAATATATAGAGATTCTATACAATGGCATCAGGTCATGTTGGAATACAAATAAGAGGAAGGGATTTGTCCTATTATGTTGCTGAACATATAAACCTAGCCATACCCGAATAAACCAAGAGGGGAAGGTTGTATTTTATTAAATCTTTGTACAAAAAAAACCAATCTATGTTTTTTAAATACACATATCGGAAAGGGTTTACTCGATTAAATAGATTTCTGAATATATAAATTATTATGTAAAATGTCCAAATGAGGTATGAGAGAAAGGTTCTATTTTATTAAATTTTTGTACAAAGGTATCAAGTTATGTTCAGTTGCGGTCGCTTGATCCGAAGGGAATGGGATTTTGGCGGGGAATGGGATTTTGGCGGTGAATACTCTTATCTATAATATTACAATTGCCATTCTATATACTCTAACTTCCGTATACAGCGCTACTTACACCGTTATTAACAGCATACTGCATACCACACATAGTTGGAAGCCATACCAACCAAAGGCACATTACACCAGATATGGGCATGCAATATACTTATATATACATATATATAAGGGTATATAAATCAAGTATGTTGGCACTGAATCTTCTTGTGAGCGGGGTTGATGAGTCGAACCTCCAAATAATCCGCAGTTACTTGGTAGCTGCAGCACCGTACATGATTAGGGCGGAAGAACTAATATTTCCTCTCGCTTACTCCTTCTTGCTCTTTTTGCTCTTCTTAGATTTCTTCTCCTTCTTATCCTCGGTCTTCTAAGGGGTACATTCGAGAATTCGGGCGCCACATCAGTGTCTTTGCCACTATCCGACAAACACTTAAAATCACCTTGTGTATGAAACACGCGCGAAGCCAAACGGCATACACATCCGGTTCATTAGCGCGTACACTGTACACTACACCCAAATGACAAACGAGACCCACACGTACATATCTGTGTATCCAACTACGTAGTAGGAATGTAATACATACGCGTATGTTACATGTACAAAAACTGTCGCAAGAAAACCCACATACACAAAAAAAACCCCCCAGCCCTCGAATACACACCTTGGACTTCTTCTCCTTCTTGATCTTCTTGGAGGGCTTCTCCTCAGAGTCCTCGTCCCTCGAGCGCTTCTTGGTTGGCTTTACCTCGCCGTTCTCCTTTCGTACTTCCTCAGCCGCATCTTGCTGCAATGATGAATGAGATGGAATATACAAACTTTAGCACAGAAAATATATACAACAAAGATAGCACGTAAAGTAAATATGAATATGCAATCCTCAAATGATAGGGAATATCTACTAGCTCCCAAAGTAATAGAGTATACAACCATACACCAACCCAAAATAGATACAAATTAAGAAATAATGGTCATACACGTGTAGAATTGGGTCCGCAACCATTTATGCACACACAAATGCCACAAAAACATTCTTGCATACAAACGCATTCATGAACTAATCCCAGACACAATGCAGAGATTATATACAAATACAAATGGTACCACCGATTAAGAATCAAGTATAAACACACGCATATATATATACCACATCAGAACCGATTATAAGAAAATAGCTTCAAATTATATAGAACAGAGCACTTACCATGACAGTTAGGTTTTTCTGTGGGGCCACTCCGGTCTCGTAGAAGGCTAATCTTTCCTCAACTTGGTCACGCATAACCTCTCCGAACTTACTTGTGGGTACATCTATTTATAGAATATAGAAGAATTTAATGCAACATGAAATGAGAAAAATATAACCAAGTAGTAGCGCAGTGGATTGTCTACACCTTACAACCAAACATTGACGAGCGTGATTGAAAAGATGCATAGAACATGCCAACCCTAATCAGAAATGAATAGCGCTACAGAGATCAAGACAAGCCGAACAACAAACACATAGTGTGTACACATCAATTGTCACTAGACATTTACAATATACTAATATATGTACACGCATGAATATGGATATTATACAAATATGTATACAAACATACGTGGAAATTTTACTGATATATGTACGAACATAAATATGGATATTATACTAAAATATGCAAACATACATATGAATATTTCGAATATAATATGTATATATATATGGATACTATAAATGTCGGTCAGATACAGGCGGATTGCGTGGGATTGAGACCACAACAGTTGCACCTACATTTGATCAATAATCTTCTGACCCATCGATTTTCAACGACCGGCACATTGACCGTCCCTAGCCGCCAAACTACGATGTATCTATTTATAGATATCCGTTGCAGAAACAGATGCAGGAGACAAAGCACTTCAAACTAGACATCGGGTATTCACGACACCAGAAACGTAGAGACGCACGAGAACACAAAACCATTATCCACGCGATGCTACAGAATCCATCCAGGTATTTAGATAGATGAACATGGCTAGATAAATGAACATGGCATGAATTGACTTTTAAGGTGGATGTGCTCACTCCACACATCCAGACCAAAGTAGTAGTGATCGGACCTTCTGGACTAGTACATCAACACCTTTCATATGCCACACAACATATACCCAACTTTCAAATACCACATAACATATACCCAACTTTCAAATTCCACACAATATATACCCAACTTTGAAATACCACACAATATATACCCAATTTTTCAAATACCACACAATATATACTTTCAATACCAACTTTGATAACACCGGTTGTCATCTCACATACCTGAGAAACAATCGATTCTGGAGGCGATCGTGCACTTGTTCGCCAAGAAACGCGAGATGCGTCCTTTGTTCTTAGCCGCCGCACGACCAATGAATGTCGAGTGGTAGATCAATCCGTACTTGGGGGTGTTTCCCTTTGTCTTGAGGGCTCTGAAAAGGGCCTTCTCCGCACCCAGAATCTGCACCGTCGAGGCCGGGGCCTTGGCCAGGTTGGTCAGCGAACCAGCCTGTGAGATCAGACGCGCCCCCACAATGGGACCGATCAGCTTGGCCAGGTTAGGTGATACCTGATCCATCTTGGTGCACAGGTACTCGTTGAGCTTCATGCGGTACTCAGACAGTGAGATGACACGGTCCAGGAACGCGTTGATGCTATTTCGATCGGTCTCGGATACGTCCATGCCCATAGAGGCACGCGAGGCTTGCAGTACCTGCTTGGCCTTGGCGGTATCACCGACTAGTTCTTCGAGCTCCTCGAGGTGTTCCTCTGTGAGTTTGTTCTATTGACAGATGGGTGTGGAGATAGATTAAGAGGGTGTTGATCAGTCGGGGTACCGTGTGGTATATTGGCTGGGAAGACGTCCTGAATGTGATTATATATATATTATATATATCACCTATCGATATTTTGAGATATGGTGCTACACATCTGTACATATACTTTGTTTGAAATGCAGCAATATAAACACCGTATATTCTCATTGGCACAATTCAACAGCATAATAACATCTATATATATAAAATACAGAGGCGAGTACTATAGTACAGCCACTATAATCCAACAGAGTGGTTTCGTATGGCGACCTTCTGTGATGCCGATGAGATGCTCGAAATGCAACTAAGAACCACTCATTCGAGCTACGGCAGCAGCAACGAGCGTACCCATACAACAAGAATGGTGTAATACGTTACTAGGAACGATGCAAAGCGTTATCCTTAAATACGTTCAAGCGTATAAGTATCCTGAAATATAGCCTACTGTAAGAGTGAACCGATACGCATAACAAGCCCATGATCTGCACGGGTATAATGCTTTCCAATCGATTCCGCTACGCAAATAGTTCGGTACTATGTGATGCATACAACGACAGACCGATAGTGAGCGTACGTGGAAACATGAATATGCCAACTGATTATTCGGTGAACCAAAATTGGGATTGGACAGTGCTACAGATGGTACGAGTCGCCTAATGGTACGAGTCACCTAATAAATGCCTTCATAAGGAGGATGTCTGTGCGATTGCAAACGCATTGAACAAAGTGCGTCTACCATAATCTGACACGTTCAATCTTAATGAGCGCCCTGGAAGAGAACTGATGCTCGTCTGATCTATATGCACACATAATAAGTATGTATTCAAAAACAAACATGATACTTAAGCAAAAGATGCAACTTGTAGGTCACAACCAAAGCAGGCACGAACACAAACAAATACAAATACAAACACGAAAACGAATATATGTATATGTATAGATATAAATATATATATATATATGCATTTATGTATCTGTATGTATATGTGTATATATATATATATAGCTATAACGTCTAAGTGAAAGACGCGCAAACCTCCGCGGTGACTCGAGTGAAATATCCGATACGGTATACCAAGGCTAAGCATAACATGCACATGCTCTAACCTGACCGAGGGGCACTATCGGCTAGCATACCCTCACGACAGACTACGCATAGATATATTGTGCTGGTGATGTACAATTGCAATACAAACCTCATTGCATATACCCCATTACATATAGATACCACCGTATATAACATACCAATACTCATGGATATAGTCGTGTATCACATAACCGGATCACAGTATACACCCAGGGTCGTTGACAAGCACAGATAAGCATAGCCTATCATACACTTTAGTTACAATATACACGCAGGTGAATATGCACAAATATGTTTCAGTTCAACACACACCTACATCACAATATACACTCGCGTGGATATACCAAAACGTGAATATGTTTGTATAGCACACACCTTATCTCCAACGAATCGAGCGGTTTTGGCGTACAGGTAGTTATCAGCCACCACCTTCGCTAACTCGGGGAAGCAATACGAGTTCCACTCCTTGGCGCGCATGGAGAACGTGTTTATGTCCTTATCGAGCTGATCTAGCAAGCAAATAGCCTGAATAATCATGTTATCTACACGGTTGACATTGAATTTCACTTTCGATCGCGAGTAACTGTGAGACAGACCCAGTTGGGCCTTGGTATAGTCTCCCGGTCGCATGGCTGTGATCATCTTCTCGAAATGCAATCGAATGCCTCGAATAATCTCTTTGGTCAAATCACCTCCTTCGCATTGTACATTAAGTGTTTCAGACAACTGTGTACCCAACTTAGAGTCGGCAATACCAAGTGTGTACTTGGCTTTCTTGCCGGCTTTGGCTTTAGGCAGGTTGGCCTCTAGGAAGTCACGCAGGTAATCGTGCAATATACCTTCAGAGATGCAGTTGATGTTCTCCAACGCTTCGATAGCTGAGCGAAATGGGGCAAATGCCTTGAGTTTACATATTTTTCCGAAACGCGATAGATCTGTTACAGCTTCCTGTACGGATTTGCTTTTCAGCGCAATGCCTTCGCTTTCGGCCATCTCGAAGAGACCATAGCCTGATGCGGACTCGAACAATACGTACATCATCTTGCGTACGTCTGTGTGTGTGTGTGTGTGTGTGTGTGTATGTGTATGAGAGGTACGTGTGTCTACCTCACAGGCGTGTGTATGTGTGTGGATAGGTACGCGTGTTACTAGCACCACAGGAGCCAAGTGAACAGATATATTTAGTTGGTATAATACTCGCCCGGTGTCGAGTATTGCTTGGTATGTATTTATTCATTATTGGGCTGTTGCTGTAGCATGTGTTTTGTTGGAGTATTGTTTTGGTATATATAAGTACGTTTTCATTTAAGACGCTTGTCTACTATACATTCCTAAAATTTCAATTGATGCTTGTTGTCTGAGAATTAGTACGTTTTAGTAAACGTACCATATACTCTCCGTTAAAATTTGGAGGATGTGTAATAATTGACTACCACATGGTGCTTTATTCAAATTGGGCGTTTGAATAAGATCAGGTACTGACAGTTCGGTACTAACTGGCTACAAATCAATATGCGTGTATTTATTTTATTTATCTTGTTGTAATAAATAACACTGCCGTTGGGCCCTTGGCTTTCTCTCAGTGTAAAAATAAATACACTGCATAGTTATACATAGTATACTTGTATTGCATACAGTACATATAACTACAAAATGCAGAGGTGTAAGTATGTAACATGTGTATACAGTATATTACTTTACTAACGTATACGTATGTCTTTGTCCGTAAAAATATGGTTCTCTATTCGGATTCGCATATGCTTGTAAACACGTCTGCACATTGCATTGAACCTGTGCTGTACCGCAATTTTTGCAGTATTGAATTTGTGTAGAAAAAACAATGCGGGTGTGTCTTTGTAGCTACTTCTCCGTACCGCAGCCTTGTGCATCTATATTCTTTATTCTTTTAAATATTATTTATACAATTCTATACGTAATAACTCTTGCTTTGATAATTATTTAGTTTGAAGCGGTACAATACAGCAGGGGCAAGCATTAACGTGAAACGACTATATTTTCAGTACAAAATCTCTTCGAGTTATATTTTATGTGTACCGCTTGTTCATCGATTGTTGACACAACGCTTGTCTCAGAGGACTTCACCCATCCGCTTGCCGCATTGACAAGGTGCTCGACCTATCCGATAAGTATCTTACATACGAGTGAATTGTCGACAAGAAAATCATGCGAATATCACACAAGAGCCTTTGACAATATAGTATGATACAGCCGATGAATTAGTTACTTATTTAGGAAAAATGAATCGAAATATTCGACAACCATGAGTGATCTCGTATTAAAAAGACTAGTGAAATATGTAGATACTCACCAGCATGTCAGTTCACTGCCTGAGCCAATTCAATGCTGTCAAGTACCGGTGTTGTGTTGATAATCAATTATAGTCCTGTTGCATAAAAGGTTTGAATTCAGATAAAAAAAACTTTGCCTTCTATAGGGGAATCCCCTTCAGATGTTCGATACTCGCCGGGCTGACTACGCATAGGACAGTAGGTGAAATAACGCCCAGAGATCTCAAAGTAGAAAAGCTGTAGCTTATTCCTGTGGTCTCGATTTAGTTGAACCGTCAATGAATGCACCGCCGTACACCTACACAAATAGTACGCACGTACGTCAAGAAGAATATAGATCACTCGTTTTGACGGCATGTATATCTCGTGGTATTTGTGTTTGATGGGAAATTGAACAATGTAAGGCGTACCAGTGTCCAGAGAAATAGGCAAGAGTTCTCACTGAAGCGAACCTGTAACTATATCTCGTAGACTTGTAGACAAGGCTGTTCAAATATGCATACTGACACAGCTATATACACGTAGACTAGTCCTATATCTATTGCCCTAGGGCTGCGATTCCATACGTATTGATACAACCTTGAATATTCGAAACTCGCCTATCATGCAGTAGGGTCCACCATACATTCATCACTTTTCATTGATGTAATAGCAAGATGTGATCTACCATACATTTATCGCTTTTCTCTGATCTAATAGTAATATGCGTCTACATATATTCATCACCTGAAACACTTGAGACACATTTTTCCAATTTTTGAGCTTACTCAGTCTCAATGTGCATTGTCATTTTAGAATAAAATGACATCTGTCGTCAAATACGTATTCCATGGCACTTGTCGTGACTAAATGCTCTGTGATTTAGTCGGTATGTGTTCGGAGGACATTATCCAACTAGGATCACACCATATGTACAGTCACAAAAAGAGACATCTTAGATCTGTTTACTATTTATTTACTTAATACTAGTAGTGTTCTCTAGAGACTCTTTCTTCTCGCCAGTGAATTGGGCCCTGTATCACTGGTTCTATTCTATTCTTACCCTCGTGCTCCATTCTACCGAGCATTGTCCCATCAGGGTCACAACGCGTGTATGGCGACAAAGGAACATCTTATTTAAAATACTCGCACTAGTTTCTCTCCAGATTCTTTTTCTTCTCTCCGGTGCAGTGTGTCTGTGTGTCCTAATTCGCTAGTACCATTGTAGTTTCCTAGTAGTACCACAGTCTACCAGACATTGCCTCTCTTTTCCGGTGGGATGTACATGTTATGGCCCTCTTTGATGCCAAACGCATTGATGAACTCGACCAAATTCATAGGCGGCAGATACGCTCTCAGTTGTCCGGGCGAGTGCGGGTCGGTGGCAATTTGCTGCGGGCAGATTAAGGTTCGAGGTTTTAGTTATAGGCCAATAGTTGTAAGTTTAGGGGTTATAGGGTTTCAAATAGTTGAAACGAATAATTGAAGTTTGGGGGGGGGTTTAGCCAATAGTTGAAGGTGGTTCCGGTTCGGTGTTATTGTAGTAGCGGTTGCAGATTGAGCTGTTCCGTACGTAGATATACATATGTGGAGTGCAGAGGCATAGCCTTTTAGATAGACAAGGCTATGGTAGGAGCCACTATATATAGAATGGATCGGCATAGATTGAACACATCACAAGAATCAGCACACTACTTTAGGATTATAATAGAACCAACACATCAACCGTGATGTAATCTCCCATTAAACATTTATGTCACTCGTTAGACCTGTGTGCCAACTGGATACGCAAAACAAACAGCATATATAGTCGGAAATCTACAAGC